TTTAAGCAATTATAATTTATCTTCTATTTGTTCAAGGTAATCACTCTATGCCCAAGTGACTTACCTGCTTATTAGCCAGGGTTAGTTGCCAAGATAAGCTCTATGCTATCACAGTTATACCAATGCTTTTGATGGAGATGGTCCTACATGCCATTGTTAACCAGATAAAAAAGAAACTTTCAGTCATTTCTTTAAAGCCTATAGATTTGTAGCTGACAGCACTGCGAGTGAAGTCATTGAGGAGGACAGGCTAGGACTGGCTGAGCTCTGAGAGCCAAGTCAAAAAATAATCTGTCTCCAGACCTATCTCCTCCATGTGCGTTCTAGGTAACTTTCAGAAGCCAGGTAAGAAGAGGGCAGCGCTACTAGGAGAGGCCCCTTGGAAACATGCCAAGGAAGGCTTTGAGTTCTACCATCAGAACTTCATTTACTGCCAGAAAACCTTGCTGTACACTACCACATGCTTTTGAGACAGAAAAAAATAATCAGAAACATAATTATTTAATACATATGATTATCATTATTGTTAATAATAATAAGCAGTTGACATTCGGGTGACTTACCAGGTGTGAAGTTCTGACATAAGAAAATTCCCATAAAACTCTGTACTATTACTGTCTGCTTTTGCCAGTGAGGCTAAGAGAGGTAAGAAACTCAAGGTCATACTGCCAAGTCACTTGTAGAGCCCGGACTCAAATGTTGGGCCTGATTCCAGAGAGCAGGTTCTTAACTGTTACCCACATTTACACACTAGCCCACAAAAATAAAGCAAAGGCATGTCCCAACTATTTTATTTCAGAAAAAAAAAAAAAAAACTTTTGGAATTTGGACTGTAACTCTTTAGAATTTGAATTAGGAATTCTTTTGTTTCGTCAGCTTCCCTCAAGTCTCCTGGTGCCTAGTTCCTGGTTTGCTCCTCCAACTGGATAAGGGTAGACAGCTGAAAGTTGGAATTTTGAGTTTCACCTAGAAGTAGAGCCTTCCCCGACTCAGGATCATTAGAATGAGCCAGATTCTTCCAAACCTAATCAAAGTGCTGTTTTACTTCCTGTGATTGAAATGCTTAACTATTATTGCTCTAACTTTTATCTTTATTTATTTAGAGGACAAGCAGAAGGTTTTGGGTTACTATAATTAGAGATGCTATTTGGTAGGCAAACTATTGAACAAGAATGTTTTGTTCCTTTCATGTAACTGCACTACTCTGAAATGCAATTAAGTTTGTGGATGGCTATTTGCTTCTTTTATGGTGGATCTTTTGTCCTGTTGAATTTAGCTAAAAATTATCCCTGGAAGATTTTTATTCATACATCCTTTTACTCTTTGTGTATCTCCTAATTTTTTTGTTGCTACTCATTTTCTTTTAGCCAATCTATAAGCAACCC